ATTAACGTCTCCTGTCACTGATTAAACAATCCTCAGTTACCTCGTCACATGGCATTAAATTAACTCGGAAAAAGAAAGAACCCGTTATATTTAAATAATTAGTAGTGAAGGTACAGTTAAGCTGTCCCCCACCATTTCACTACATTTGGTGGGACCGTACGCGTTTTAAATAACACATTTGGTGGGACCGTATGTCCACAGCAAAGCTGTCCTTGGCACACTACACTACCAATAAAGCTTCATTAGAGATATTCAGATTGAAACAATCCTACTTCGACCAGGGAGAGGGGGCAGGAAAACTTCTAGCCTGGCGCATTAAGGCTATGCAGAATGAGAGGGCAATAAATGAAATTACAACTGGAAATGAAAACACTACTGATCCTCAAAAAATTAATGATCTCTTTAAAGATTATTACTCAAAATTATGTACGTCTAAAGGACACATCACAAGTATCACTTGATTCCTTTTTTAATTCTATAAACATTCCCACACTTTGTGAAACAGCTAAATCAAAACTGGATATCCCGATATCTATAGATGAACTCTCAAATGCAATAGATAAATTAAAAATCAGGAAAATCACCCGGTCCAGATGGTATTCCTTTGGACCTGTATAAAATATTTAAAAACAAACTACTGCAGCCCCTCTATAATATGCTATCGGAAAGTTATACCTTTAAAGAATTACCTCCCTCCTTGCGAAATGTGATCAGAACAGTACTACCTAAACCCGGGAAACCACCCACCAGATGCGAATCCTTTCGACCAATCTCTCTTATAAATTCTGATGCCAAAATAATATCTAAAGTACTAGCAATTAGACTTGAGAAATTTTTACCATATCTTTCTGACCCTGACCAGAACGGATTTATAAAGGGGTGGCAAGCTCACCACGGTATCCGTTGAATATAATTCATGAAAAATATGAACATCCCGATACAGCTTTACTTTCACTTGATGCAGAAAAAGCATTCGATGAGTGGAACATAATTACCTATACAAAGTTCTTTCTCAATTTGGCTTGGGTAGTTATTTCATAACCTGGATTAAAATATATTCTAATAAACCCACAGCCTCAGTTATAACTAATAACATTGTATCCAAGTAATTTAATCTAGCTAGGGGCACACGTCAAGCCTGTCCCCTCTCACCCCTCCTCTTTGTTCTGGCAATTGAGCCATTGGCTGGCTATTGCCATAAAGGAATAATCAAAACATACATGGTATCAGAATAAAAAGTATTGAATCTAAAATTGGACTCTTTGCCGATGACATTATTTTAATGTTGTCCAATCTGAATTGCTCAATCCCCCAACAACTTAGAACTATCAATGAGTTTGGTTATATTTCTGGTTATAAACTTAACAAATCTAAATCTGCCATCCTATTTTTAAAATCAGGCTGAAAGAAGCACTCCACCAATTCTCACTGCATTTCAGGTGGTAAAAGACAGCCTTAATTACTTGGGCATTAAAATTACTCCAAAAATAGATGATCTGGTTCGTGCAAACTACACGCCGGTGATTAACTCAATACGGGAATCACTTGATAGATGGTCAACCTTGCCTATATCTAGGATTGGCCGTATAAATATTCTTAAAATGAACATACTTCCTAAATTCCTATATCTTTTCCAGGCAATCCCCCTTAATCCTCCGGACAATTTTCTTTTTTATTACCAAAATTCAAACAATCCTCAAAAACTTCATTTGGAACAACAGACGAGCCAGATTACGTTCATCTTTATTATATCTTCCATATGATAGAGGTGGGCTAGGTGTGCCAAACTTCAGATGGTATTATTGGGCTGCTCAACTTTCTAGTACATCTTGCTGGTTTTCACCAACTGTCCTGTCGTGGGTAAATATAGAAAATATAAACACCCCTTCCTTATCCCTTAATTCATATCTATACTCAAGGAAATGCAAAGAGTTATTAAAAAACACTTCAAACCCATTTGTTAAAAACAGTATCCGAGTATACAGGTCCTTCTCAAAAAAATAGCATATTGTGATACATTACATTATTTTCCATAATGTAATGATAAAAATGAAACTTTCATATATTTCAGATTCATTGCACACCAACTGAAATATTTCAGGTCTTTAATTGTTTTAATACTGATGATTATGGCATACAGCT